CTTAATTAAAACGCCGTCGTTTCGTTTGTTCACTTTCTATAGCCGCCGTGGCTTGGGGCCCCGGCGAGCCCCTGGTGGTGGAACAAGTCCGGGTGGACCCGCCCCAGAAAATGGAGGTCCGAGTTAGGATTCTCTTCACCTCCATCTGCCACACCGATCTCAGCGCTTGGAAAGCAGAGGTAAGTAATTAATTAACAAAACAAAAAATTAATAATTATATTTTCCAAATAACCCCTTTGAGTTTGAATTATTTGATTGCAGAATGAATCCCAGAGAGCTTTCCCTCGAATCTTCGGCCACGAAGCCGCCGGGTCAATCAATGACCCAACTAAACATTAATTATTTCAAAATTTTAATTTTTCTTTTCTTTTTTTAACATAATTAATTTTGAAACTGCAGGATTGTGGAGAGTGTGGGGGAGGGAGTGAGTGAGGTGGCGGCGGGCGATCACGTGATCCCGCTGTTCAACGGGGAGTGCGGCACGTGCGTGTGCTGCAGGAACCCGAAAACGAACGTGTGCGAGAGGATGGGAGTGGACCCCACGAAGACCACCATGGCTCACGACGGAAAGACCCGGTTCACGACGGCGGACGCGCGGCGGCGCCCGATCTTCCACTTCTTAAACACCTCCACTTTCAGCGAATTCACAGTCCTGGAATCGGCCTGCGTCGTCAAAATCGACTCCCAAGCAGCTCCCATCAAGAACATGACTTTGCTCAGCTGTGGCCTCTCTTCTGGTACGCACCATAACAAATCTCTTTTTTTTTTCTTTCCATTTTTAATGGTCGTTGTTTTGCCCGACGGCGATTAATTATTCTTTTTCTTTGCTTACATATCCCTTCGTGTTGACCGGTACTGAAAATGATTTTCTCTTTTTTAAATTTAAAACCCGCCGCTGGACACGGCGATGAGCATTGATTATGAATATCCACCGTTTGCCTAGAGTTTCGAAATTTCAATTAAAACATTTCGTAAAATATATAAATAATTAAATAGGTTAATAGATAGTTGATGTGTAGCTAGTTAGATTATTACTTTTTTGTTTACCTATTTTAACGGATTGAAAGAGATTAAATTTGTTAAAATCAAGTACGTTAATTAGGGATTGCAACGGGATGCGCCCCGTTGGGCATTTTTCCCCATCTCTGTCCCCGTCCCCGTAATTTTGGGGGTGGGAACGAGACGGAAATTTCCTGGGGGAATCGGTCCCCATTATAAATATATATATATTTTTTAATTTTTTAAATTAAAATTTGTTATTATTAAGATAAAAAGTGAACATTGAGTTTTTTTTTAATTAAAAAATATTTATAAAATTAATATATATTAATATTATTATATTAAAAAATAGAAAAAGTAATAAAAAATTAAACGGTACGGGATCAGGTTCCGTAGGTATTTTTGTCATCCTAATGTTAATATAATGGATAGTTTAGTATGCATGCATTCTTTTTTTTTTTTTTTTTGGTTAACGTATTTTATTGTATTTTTAATGAAATGATTTAATTGACAAATTTTTAAGATGGAGATATATGTGGAAAAAGTTGGAGGTCATTTTATATATTTAATTTAGCGTATTTTGAAGTTTTATTTTATTTGAGAATAAATGTGGAAGTTTATAGATGGAAATAAGATCAAATTTTTTTAATGGTAAAAGACAATAAATCTATGGAGGATTTAGGGTTTCATATTTTTGCGTCTTTGACCGATTGGTAAATATCAAAAATATATAAATCTCATAAATATAAGAGAAAATCGGGTGTCAGACGAACGAATTTTTTTTTTTCTTTTGTCTTTGTCTGTTCAATAATTGTCATACTTTTTCCACCGTTAATTTTAGGAAAAATACAGAGTTGAAAATAGAGTTTAATATATTGATAGGATAAAATTTAATTGATTTAAAAATTTATAATAGGACGGAGATTCCAATCTCAACTTCTTCTTTTTTTTTTTATGTTAGGAATAAATTTGACTTTATTTTTATATGAATATTTTAAAAAATTTTGTATCTCTTCGTAGGGTAAACATCATTTTTGACATTTTAATGATGTTAATCTAACTATTATTCAAGAAAAAGACAAAGGTAAAAAGACATAAATATTTATAAATTATAATATGATATAACTTCTTTCCTGATGGAACCTGAGGCACTTCTAAAAAACAATATTATCCGAGTTTAATATAATTTTTTGAATAATGAAAGTATATTTAATCTAATTTTTAAAATTTAATTTTTACAAGTTTAATCTTCATAATTTTTCTAAGGTACAATTTTCATAGTGTTGGGCTATGTTGTAAAAACTGTTGCTTTTATTATAACATTTAAAAGAACTTTAAAATAGTTAGAAAAAACACTTACTTGATGGTCCAATATTCCAAACTTAACCCTAAGTAATTAGGATAGTTTTAAATCTTTAAACCCCTAAGGTCATTGAAAACAAATTATGATGAATCCATAAAAAAGTGGAACATCCAGGTCAATTAAAATGTCCCTTATTTTAAAAAAAAAAAGAAAATTAATTAATTGAAATATCTTAGATTAAAAAAAGTGAAGAGAAAAAAAAAAAAGAAAGTATACCACTAGTTTAAATTTTTAGTCTAAAAAGAAAAGTATTTTTTCCACTAAATCCGGGTGCATTGACCGGCGAAGTACAGGATCCGAACCCGGAAAATGCAAATCGAGTTGAATTGAAACGGATTGAAAATGGCGGGAGTCGAGTCATCCGTTTCGCGCAGTTTTGTTATTAGTTATGGGACCCTTTTCTTGCGTGTACTCCACTTTTTCTTTTTCTTTTTTAAAAAAAAAACAATAATTAAAATTTTATTATTTTGCAATAACCATTTAAAAAAACAACAATACTAATTTTTCAAAAATGAATTTGATTTTAATATTTACGTGATTATTATAATTTTTTCTTGCTTTTATTATTTTTCTAATTTGTTATATTTTTTATTTGCCTTGCTAACAAATGAACAAATGTGAAAATGGGAGGATTTGAATCTTTGAAATGATGAATACATGTTTTTTTGTATTAAACTATACTCCTGGTGACTATTTGAAATTTATGTTTATTTCATATTTAGAAGTATAGATAAAATTCATACTTAGAAACAATGTCTTTAAAAGATACTACGGATTGAAAATGAAGGAAGACAAGTACCAATCTAAGTTCAGAACCACTGAACTAAGTGCAGCTTTTCCAAATATCAAAAGTTTTCTTTGAATTGTAAGTTGTTGACATAGTTTCCAGAAAAATAATTAAGCTAAAAAATTTAAAATACTACCCTCGGAATGAAACTTCTATCTAGACCCATGTGATGATCAAGAGAAAAATCACTCTAGAAAGGAGCTTGGAACCTCAAGCATTTATTAAATGCATAGGTGAGTAAAATATTCTAAACAAATTTAAAAGTATGTTTTGTCTCTCTATAAAAAAAATGGAGTCAAAATGAACATAGTTAACTGGTTAAGGTATATATCATCGATTAAAAGATCATAAATTTGAATTTTCAAACTCACTTGTTGTTGAACTCAAAGAAAAATTGAATTTTAAATTTTTTAATCATATTAAAATGTATTAATGAATAGAATGTTCTCAAAAAAGCATTTATTTATAGCACGTCTTACTTGAAGAACTAATCTCACTTTCATGGTTTTTAAAAATGTAAAATATTACGTGACCCACAATATGAGATAGGAGTGGGAGCGGCATGGAACACAGCAAACGTGGAAGCAGGATCGACAGTGGTGATTTTTGGATTGGGAGCAGTAGGGCTCGCAGTAAGCAACTTTTTTCTTTCAAGAATATTATAGAGGTTTCAACCTACAACATTTTAAATACAATTCGAATAATATCAGAGTCAGCTATGCAAGCAACCTTATCTTTCTACTCTCTCTTGCCCTTCACTGCAGCTTGATCTAGTTGTCTCCTCACGGGGCCTAATAAATGCCATAGCCAACCCAAAAATGTTAATAAATTAAGTTGAATTCCAATTCACCAACTTTTTGCAACTTGTGGTGCCCCCATTGTGCAGGTAGCTGAAGGAGCACGAGCCCGCGGTGCTTCTAAAGTTATTGGCGTCGACGTCAACCCCCTCAAGTCTATAATCGGTAATTAATGACTCATTTGGTAATAACGTTTCTGTTTCTTTATTTTTAATGAAGAAAAATGTGTTGTATGATTTCAACCTCCAATAATTCAAATATGATAAAATAATCTTTTTATTTATGTTTTGGAATAAATTGGAAATAAGAATAAGAAAAGAGAAACTTATTTTGTTTATTCCCAAAATTTCTATACATGTGAGAATGTTTGTAAAAAAGAAGAAACACGAAACAAAATTAGTTGTAAAATGCTTAGATTTCTTAAGAACTTTGGAAATGAGAAACAAGAAATGGGAACATTACCAAATGAACCCTAATTTCAAATCCTTACATATTTTAACTATAAATTTCAGTTTTGGTGCGAGTTTAACAATTAATTTTATTATTCTACCATCTAATATCTATCTATTAAATACCTATTTCAACCAATATTAAAAACAATATCTATCTATTAAATACCTATTTCAACCAATATTAAAAACGAAAGTAGTAACTAAATTAAAGTTGGAAATTAATTAGAGACTAGTTAGACATTCCAAAAGTTTAGGAATTCGAATAAAATGATATTGGAAGTTTTAAAACTGAAATGAGGTTTAACCTATTAACTACTATATCTACCTAGCGGGTTCATAATTTTTAAATTGCATCTATCAATTTTAGATTATATTTCTATATTATCTGATATATCGTTGATACACGGTTAATAGAACGTTGATGAAACATATCAGTGTATAATTAATTCTGCCACTGCTTTTGATTAATATTATTGATTATGTTGTCTAAATAGAAATATGATGTCAAAATACATAGATTAAGAACTAAAAAAACATAGATTAAATTTGTAATTTCAACTTGGATAGCTTCAATTTTAGTTTCTGAATAGTGAATTTTAAAATTGAACATTAAATCAAATATTTGTTGCATGTAGGGAAGCAATTTGGGATCACCGACTTTATAAACCCCAGAGACTCCGACAAACCTGTCCATGAGGTCAGTATTGGTGCTGAGGCTGACCCACAAATTCTTTTTTCAATTAAATAATTAATTCTTTATTATTTTATTTTATTTGATAAATTTTTATGCTTCTTATATTATAAAAGGAATATCTATTATTATTGTGTTACTGATTTTCAAAATTCCATGAGTTAACTTATAGTTGAACGGATGAAAGTAGGTTAATAATAAGTTCAAATACTCGCTATGGTCCTTTATTTGAATGGTAAAAGAAATCAAATCTTAATTCTAGACCAAATATTTGTGATTATTAAAAAAACACATCCAATCCATAAGTAATTAAATTTAGTAATGAATTGATATAATAATATTTTCTTACTGGTTTTTTTGCTAACTATAAGTGGAAATATTATTAGTAAATTTTCGGTTTTTTTTTTTCTCCTTTTTCGGGAAATTTGTAACCTGAAGTGAATTATTAAAATTTGGTATATGTTTGATGTGTTGTAGATAATAATGGAGATGACAGACGGAGGTGTGGATTACAGCTTTGAATGTGTTGGAAATTTGGAGGTTCTGCGGACAGCCTTTTTGTCTACTCACGTTGTAAGTTAGTATCAAAATTTCATACACTAATTTATTAATTAAGGATAAAATGGTTTTAAATCTTATAGTATCTACGTTCATATTGACAATTGTGATGAGATTGATTTATGTCAAATTAGCTATAAATAAAAACCGATTTAAACTAAACTCGTTGGTCCATTTTAGTTTTGGTTCGATATTTTTCGAGTTTTTACTTGTTGAGCCTTATTTTGCCACACCTATTTGAAACCTCAATTTATATTAAACATCCAAATTTTTGAGTTTTTGGATATGTTTGGAGTATGGATTCGATATATTAAGTTCGAAAATGTCATATTCGAGGAGTTTAATAATGGGAGGTTTGGAAAAAACTATATTTGGTGTGCAAGTTTAGAAAACTGGGTATAAGAGAAAACCGTGTGAAGGAGTAAGTTTTTGTACTGCTGAAGCCCATAACAAACTCCAAGAGACAAACCAAAACTATGTTAAGAATCCGTGTTAATAAAAGTAGGGACCTTACATGAGTTTATAATAGACATGAGCTATTTATCTCGCTGTCAATTAGTTTTGAAATGAAACCCATGAATATCGATAACCTAAACTCAAACCCTCGGATAACCATTTGCTTTCTAAAACTATTGATATGTCATTTTGGTTTTTGCAATACATAAACCAAATAAAATTTAATTATAAGTAGGCCTTCATAACAAATCATTTTGATATTTGATTCTATACCTTCTTAAAATTACTTTGAAACATTTTATTTTTTTGAAGGGATGGGGAACAACGGTTATGTTGGGAATACACCCGAGCCCCAAAATGCTGCCTCTGCACCCAATGGAGCTGTTCAGTGGGCGTAAGGTGGTGGCCTCTGTTTTTGGGGGCTTCAAAGGCAGAACTCAGCTTCCTCTTTTTGCCAAACAATGCACTCAAGGGGTAACACAGCTCTTCTCTTCTTCTCTTCTTTTAACCCTTTTTCTTCCACTATTTTTACAAAAATACTTCTCAAAAACTTTAATATGATCTATAGATACGTAGAAATGGACCATTAAAATCACTCTTGGATAAAATATTGTTCAAATTAATGGATTAGAATGTGTTTGATCTCCTACGAATATTCTCGATCAATTGGGTTTAAACTTTGTATCAGGTAGTGAAGCTGGATGAGTTCATAACACATGAACTTCCTTTCGAAAAGATAAACGACGCTTTTCAACTGCTTATCGATGGAAAGTCTCTAAGATGTGTTTTGCATGTTTAAGATATTTTATGTCTTTCCATAAACACTTTTTTACGCCAGGAGTTACATAAATAATTTAAATAAACGAGCTGTCATGTTTGTAATTTGATATGTATTGTTAATGAGTTTAAATAAATTATTAAACTCTATTTAGTAATTATTTGCAAATATGTTACTAGGAAAAGCTTAGTATTTTATCGAAAATCATTTGGTGATTTTGCCATTTTTTAACTGATGTAAATAATTCAATATGAGTTTTTTAATTTTTGAAATAGTGTTTACTTTGTTATTAGTGTCCACGCAGTACTATTAGCGTTAAGTTTTAAGAGACACTGAGAATAATGTTAGGTACATATTTGGTCTTTTCTACTTCTTTTTTTATCGTGGGGACATTTTTTTAATAATGTTTCTTTTAAAACTTTTTCGAAAAATATATTTTCCACCAAATTATTTCTAAGAATAATGCTGGGAATTTTTTGGACTTTGATAATGTGGCGGTCGTCTCTCGAAGAAATGACATTTATAGTTGGAATGTTTTTTTTTTTTTTATTTTTACTAAATCTCAATATGGTACATCGAAGAGACCATCCCAACATGTTAGCCACATATTGCATGTAACGTTTTTTCTTCTTTTCAAAATCTCCTTGACTCAGGGTTGACACCCAATATTTTATTATTTAAATTTAACTAAAACAAATCTAACAAAATCTTAAAACGTTGTTAAGAAATCTATTTTTTAAACAGACGTTAAATTAAATTAAACTAAAAAAATTAGAAAAATCTTAAAACAAATCAAATTTTAAAAATCAATTTAACTAATCAAGCATTCAAAATATAAATTAAATCTATCATAAAACAAATGATATCCATAAATGCTAATGAAGAAGTAGAGAACAATGATGAAAAATTATTATACGGAGGCTTATAATTCAAGTCTGGATGTCATAAGCATAATATGATTTTCACCGAAGTGACGAAAGGAAAACGAGCAGTGAGTCATTGGCCGCTTATATGCCAATTTATACGTAGATTTATTTGTTAAGCTGAGTTCTATGAAACTTACTATTAAGTTCTCCTCCCCTCTTTTTTATTTTTTACTTTTTATTACAACAAGCGGTTAGATAAGAGGATTCAAACCACATTTAGAGAAAGTTATTAATGTCGTCTTGGCTAGTTGAACTATATTTATATTGTTTTTCCTATCTCTCTTAAAATTATATAGAAAAATAAATAAAAATTATCCTCAAATACTGAATAATCACATCTTTACTTTTTATATATATATAATAATCATGTATTTATTTATAATTCTTATTCTAGTTTTTTCTTGAAAAAGAAAAAACTCTCATTCAAGTTCAGAAACACACTCTAATTCAAGTTCAAAGTTTATAGGTATAAAGTTGAAAACTTAAGACTCACCTACCTAAATTTAAGGGTAAAAGTATAAATTTTTCCAATTAAATAACTTTCATAAATATGATTGACTATTCCACATGCTATTTGGTGATGTGCCAACTTCAACTAAAATTACTCATTTCACATCAATACTTTTGAGACAACATTTGTTAAGCAGTTATTTAAATTTTTAACATCTAAAATGTCGTACATATGTAAGATCCCTAAAAATAAACAACTCATTAATAGCTAAACATATATGATTCCTAATTTTATAACAATATTTATTGAATAGGATTTTAGTAAGAAAACATGATATCATGACTTCCAAAAAGAAAATATAGAAAAATGTATATAGACTATTATTAACTCTACTATTTTTGTAATTAATAAATTACTTATTAATATGTAATCAATCTTATTCCATATTTATTTTATTCTGTCCCATAAATTTTAAATATTTTTTTGGAAAGGTTAAAATTGAGGGAATAAAATTAAAATGTTAATAAATTAAGAAGGAAGTAAGTATTAAAACTTGGATCAAAATAAAATTTAAATTTCAAAGGTTGGAAATCGACCCTAGCTCAAATGGTTAAGACATCTATCTCATTACATAAAATGCCAATGAATTATAGGATGTATTGATTTCAATATGGCCAATCGTTTCAAAAAATTTTTTTTAATACTTTTAATTACCCCCAACTTGTAAGCAAAATCAAAATGAAATTTTAACTTAGAGCTATAGTTTCATGTGTAGGGTAAAGGAAAAAATAAAATAAAAGAGTACAAATGAAATTTAAGTTTCTTTAATTTCAACTTATCATCAACAATGGACAAAAAAATGTAGGCATCCCTCAAAATCAATGGACAAAAACTAAGGCTAAAAATCTGGAGAAGAGTAAAAAATAGAAATAATCTATGCATTCCATTAATAACTTGATGATTACCGTATTATCAATGAATACCCTTGTTGGTGATCTAGTGGATGAACGTAGAGTTTTTCTAGAATAGAAGATTAAATAATAGTTTTGAAACTATACCACATATTTGAAACAAATCTTATAATTTTCATGTAAGTATAACCATCCTTGATGGTTGGATCCCGCCTCACAATAATTGAACTATAAATAAATATTATAATTTTAGGACATTTATATAGTTTAGTCAATATATTAAATTTTCGTTGATATATCGACATTTCTATTAACATAATTTTCATAGGTTGAAGAATCAATATCTTTATAGTGTAATATCAAACCTAATATAAAATATAAGAATTTTAGACTTATTTTTTAATTTAAACAATTATTATGATATTTTTTCAGAATAATTTTTCCTAATAAACTTAACAAAAATAAATAATAGTAAATTATACTCACAATAATGTGACATACTATTTTCTATTTCAGTGGAAAGGACAATTTTCAAAAGAAAAGAAAGTACCATTTACATATTTATACAACAAATCGTATGGTATGATAGGTCATAAATTAGGAGAACTTGTACCAACTCGAACTTTTCAAAGTAGATGAAAAATGCTAATAGCATTGTTAATAATTAATATTATTAGAAAAAAAGTGAATATAAATATATACATGTGGAGACAAACTCCAAGAATATAAAAAAGAATCGATTGAACATCACCTGATAATTTACCATTAAGTAATATGAAATTCTGAACCTAACTCAAGTAAATAAAACACCTGTTACTCCTATGGTTGTTGAATCTCCTACGATTATCGAACTAAAAAATAATTTTACAATCATCACTTTTCATGAAAATGAAATCTTGAATTTAACCCAAAATTAAATTGAGTTTTATGGGGAACTTATATCGTTGAAAACGACGGTTAAGATTTCAATACTTTTTCTTTTTAATTATTTTTTTAATAATTCCCCTCACCCACCTTCTCTTCTCCTGCAATCTAGGCTAGGGTTCCTTCGAATATACCTTCGTACTCTTCTTTCTTCGAATTTCGCCCATTTTTCTCATATCCGTCTATCTCTGCTCTGAGATCGGAAGTTAAATTCCTACCATCCCGCTTGATCCATAACTTTTTTTCCTTTTGTCTGACATCTCTCTCTTCTTCTTCCCCCTTTTCCTTTCATTTTTTCCCCTTCCATATTGAGAATTTGAATCATTGTTCAATTCGGCTCCAGAAGTTTGACCATATCTGGACTCTGTTCACCCGATTGCCAGCTTTCGGATCTTCGATCGGAATTAGATCATGACCGTTCCTGCTTCCGGTTTTATGATGGAAAACGGCGGATCAAGTTGCCTACCACTCCCCCCAGATGTGGAGAATCGGATCGTTACCGAGCTGGGGAAGGAATCCGAGTCCAATTTGAAAGAAGGCAACCTATACTATGTTGTTTCTAATCGGTATTTGCTTCTTCTGGGTTTCATGTCTTGTAATCTATTGGCGGGAGCCGGGGATATTATTTAGGAGCTTATTGATTCGCGAATAATTAGATTTGGTGGTGGATTTTGGATATTGGTTCGGTTCAATAATTTGCGCTGTGTTTTATACAGTCCATTTCAAGCCTAATCCAAAAGTATGCTCTTGCTATACGTATCTACACTTGTCAATTCATATGTAGTATATTTCACGTTTGACAAATTTATGGGCATTTGCTATCTTGCACAATTTATTTCTCCCGGGAAATCTTTATTTTCTTTGAGGTTTACTTAAATGAATTCTATACAGGTAAATTGCTAAGGCTTATTGGAATGCAAGAAATGTTCACTCTGTTGTTCATGCAGGTGGTTTAGAAGATGGCAATTATATGTCGGACAGCCCACTGAAGAATTTTCCAGCGAAGATCATTCCTCTGATTCCCAACACTTTAATATGGTTCCCTTAAATGTGGTCGATAGACCCGGCCCAATTGATAACTCAGATATAATCGTTGATGGAAGTGATTCTGAGAACAATGATTTAGAGCTAAAAAGACCTTTGGAGGAACGACGGGATTATGTTTTGGTTCCCAGTGAAGTTTGGGAAAAACTTTATGATTGGTGAGATGTCCACTAATTCTCTTTGTCAAATTACCCCATGACCCTTTTACTGTTTGTTGCTGTGTTGCTTCTTCCCTCTTGTCAGAAATTACTCTCTTTTGACATGCTTTTAAGTCCTATTTATATATTTCTGCTGTTGTTTTTATATCTCTATATATATATATATATATATATCTGTGAAACAAGAAATGTTTTGCATTGTTAAATAAAAAATTTACTACCAAAATTCTGTAATACTCCCATTAGGATTTTATATTAACTGCATCAGGAATTTAATTGCAAAAAGAACTAGACAGTCTTCCTCCTAAGTACAAAAAACATAGGTGTTTATCTGCCCATAAATTGCATAAAATCTTGGGACATCTTTGGGAAAGAAGCTGATTTTTAGCCTATCATTTGAAAAGGGAAGTCCTTATGACTTATCCAATCCTGCTCATCGATAGTTCTCAATATGGCCTTTTGGTTTCACGATGTTCTACCAAGGTATTTTGAGTATCTTGAAAGTAAGTCGTAAGTACTAGAGATGGTTTGCATTTTTAGTCGGTTTCATGCACATTGATTTTTGATAGTCTATGATTAAACAATTTAAACTATATTATTTAATCTCAATTACCAAATCTCATTTTCATTTTTCTATGAGCCTTAAATATCTCTCTTGTTTGATTTTTCTTCATTATTTTATGTACTCTACTTTTGTAGCGTTGCTTCTTGAAATGGAACTGTTTTATATGGAAAATGCCTATGGAATTAAAGTTGTATGTATGCTTCTTTTACTGTTATGAGCATGAATTCCACACTCAAAACTAATTGGGAACTTGGGAAGCTCGAGTTATATTCTTATTTTGCTACATTATTAGGTATAAAGGGGGGCCTCCATTACCAAGAAAGTTGTTATCACAAGGTGTCAATCAAAAGAATTTTTTTGTGGAGGTTTATCTACTTTGTCTAAAGTTGATTGATTCCAGAGATGGGAGTGAGTCTACCATACGATTGAGCAAGAAGGTATTCTCCATATTATACCTCTCTTTTGATTTGTTATAAATTTAAAATGATTCTTGGTGGTGTTGAGATTTTCCTTTTAAGTATTTATTTGATCTCAATTATAAATTATTCCTTTCTTTTCCTGACAGATCTTAATTTTCTGCAAGTGGGATCCAAAAAAAAATGGTTGATAAAGAAATATTTGATAATTTTGGAACATGTAATCGTAGTTTTTACAACCTTTTCTTTATCATTGAGCTTGATTCAAGTCCTTGAAAGCATGTAAAGGAGGCCACAGTTTGGCACTAAAAGTGTAAGAATTTGTGGCTCTCAGATGATGATGAAAACATTTCTTTCTTTCATAAGCTGTGCTCGACAAGGGAAGGGGAAAGCTTTATCTTGGAGCTGACTAGATTTGATGGTACGAGTCTTACCTCTTAAAGTCAATTGGAGTCTGATGTTGTGTCCTATTATCTCTTTGGTAAAAAGACTCCTTTCTTAAGTGATTGATTTAGAATCTTGCCTGGGCCTTATTGTTGCTGCCTCAAGTTCTTGACTAGAAAGATTCATTTGTAAGAGGAAATCGATTTGGTTATTCCAAGATTTTCCCCAAACGAGACATCAACATTTTCCCCAAATGAGAAATAAAATGCCGATGCCAATGAAACATTACTTTGGAACCCTTCATAACCTTGGTAGAATTACAGTTCCTACCCTAGACGATTCCTCTTTGAAATTATTCAAAAGAAGTTGGAACATTCTTAAACTGTATTTGGGTTGCTCCAAGACTTCCTAATTTATCATATCCCAAGGCCAATGAAGTGGTACTTTGGAACCCTCCATAACCTTTGTAGAAATAAAGTTCGTAGCGTAGATTATTCCTCTTTTCTTTGGTGTCTCAATCGTCTAGTCTTTGAGGTTAGGCCTTATTTGCCTAGCAATTGGAGTATATAAGATCATTGCTAAGATTCTTGCTAACAGATTGACATGTATTCTGCCAACTACCATCTCCCCTTGGCAATTAAGATTTATAGCATGCAGGCAAAATCACTGATACTATCTTAATAGAAAATGAAACAATATATTATTGGAGATCTATGAAAATCAAAGCAATCATTCTAGCTTGACATTTAGATGGCTTTTGATTTAATTGATTGAGACTTTCTTCTAATTTTTTTGCCTGAGGCTTTAAAATAGTTCTTTCCGTCTCCCAACCTACTCCCTCTCCATTTTTGCAGACCTGGATTCTATCTGTGAGAGAATGTAGAAGCTTCTTTGTGACTTTTCTTTTTTTAATGGGAAGATGCACTTCATGATGGAGTCGTTACCTAAGAAGCATAGGCACAAACATGAAACAAACATGGCGACATGTCAATTTCTAAAAATATAGGACACGAACATGTTATTTTTTTAAAAATTTTTTAGATAATGAAAACGTGTATGTATTGATATAGTAATATTTCTAAATAAATTAACCACACAAATTAGATAATACAAAAGAAAATGTGCTTCATCCTCAATATTAGAAGTAGAGATTGAAGGTTCGGTTGGGGGTTGATTGAGTTTGACTATTATTGGTAGAGGAAGAAGATGCCATATAATATTAAAAAATGAAACTGAGAATACTTAGGTAGGGTTGGTGCTAGCGGTTTTGAAGGTGGACTTGGTGGTGTCGTCGTCGGCAAACTGAGGCGTGGTGAAGGAACACTTGGCTAGACAGCAACGAAGGTCGAAGGAAGTAGCTTCGGAGATTTCGTGGGTGGGTTTCTTAGGTAGGGTTGTCCGGACTTTTTTAGTTTTTTTTGTTATTTACGTTTTATTTATTTTTAAGTTATAGGCCTTTTTTATTTGGGTCTCTTTTCAAATTTTTAGGGCTGGTTGCCTTGTCCCAGCGCATCCTCGCATGTCCCAAGCGTGTCTTGGGCATGTCTGGAATTAAAAAAAAGGACATGCAAAATGATGTGTCAGACATGTGTCTGGAGTGTGTCTGGACATGTTGGTGTCCGACATGGACACTCCGCCTAAAATAGAGTGCCTATGCTTCTTAAGTTGTTACTTGATTAGGTGGAACTTAGTCATGCTCTCTAAGGACCTCGGGGGCTTGGTGAATCAAGGAGCCCATGACAGATCCAGATTTTCTAATGTAAAAGTGGCTATGGACCTATATTAATGAAAGATCCCTTATTAAGATTTGCCCGGTAGAAGAGAGTGTGTCGTGAGGTCGAAGCTATGGGTGGACAGTAGTTTTGTGGGCCCGAGGTAGTTACCGTAGTGGATGTTTTGGGGATGCATGTGCTTGTATGTACCGGCTGGGAGAGAGAGTAGACATATTTTTGGCTAAGTTGTTAGTGAGGTAAAGTGGAGAGGTAGGCAGCTCTCAAATTTCTCCCTTAGCACTGAAATTCTCTCTCTGCGATAAAATAGGAGTGGTTCCAATCAAAATACTAAACTAGCTCCTTTGTTCAACCTCAACACAAGGCAAGTTGTTAGAGATGGTCCGAGAACTCTGTTGTGGTAGAGTTTGAAGGGTGACTAGTGCTTTGAAGATAGGTTCCCTTCGTTCTCCTTGGTCGTCCATAAGGGGATTACCATTAAAGAGGCTAATGATCCTCTCTCTGATGGCTGGTACATCCCTCTGTGTTGGAATCTACTGGATAGAGAGATATGTGATTGGTTTGTCTTTTTGGATCACATTAATGGCCTCACTCTTTTCATCAACAATGACTCCAAAAGCCCTTCTTGCTAGCTCTGGTTCCTTCTTGGTCAGATCCGTCTTTTACCACCTGCTGTTGGGTGAATCTGCCCTCCCTATTTTCTTCTGTCAAAAGGTCTAGAACACCTTTCTACCCAAGAAGTGTAAATTCTTCCTTTGGTCCCAAACCCTTAGAAGCCTATACTCAAATGACAAAATTCAAAGAAGGAATCCAATTTCTACCTCAGTTCTTCCTTGATGCTCCTTTTGTAACTTCATTCATAAATCATTGAAATTGTCTCCTATCTAAAAGAAAAGTAAAAGCCTGTAAAGAGTTGCAAATAACTGCTAACTGTTATAATTTCAGAAATTTTTAGTTTGCATAGCATTTTGCCTCATTTTAACTTTAAGATCCTATCTGTCTTCTGTTTACAATTAATAACTTACCATATCTTCACTCTTATTTGTGGGCCTTGATTATATCGAAATATTATGTTATAATTATTTTTTTATTCCAGAAAAACCTTCCAACCTCGATGGTGTAATATAAAGACTTTATTGTATTATTGATTGTGATATTCATTGTTCAATTAATTTGTGTACGTTTTTTCCGTTTCTTCAGAATGTATTTGCTTTCTGGTGATAATACATTTTATCTCATCTAATCGTTTGAGGTTACAAGTTTGTGCTTCGTTTTTCAACTTTAGAAGTGTGATATATTGTAATAATTGTTATGGTCTTTTGAGGCTATGGATTAGTTTTGTTAATGCAGTGATTTCTAATGATGAGGGTAGATTGAAATATTTGCATAACCATTTCATTTCACATTAAGTAGGATTAAATAAGAGTTTTTCCTATGGGAGACAGTAACTATAATATACTATTAATGTTTCAGACTTTCACTAGGTCCCAGATCAAATATGGCTTACCATGTATGTGCATATACGTCTTACTCTTCTCTGTATGTGTACATTTAGAAATTGCTGAGTTCTGCTAATCTGCTCTCTGCTTTTCAGGCTACTGTATTTGATCTTCGTGAGAAGGTGTTTGCACTTAAAGTAATAAAACAAGAAAAGGTTTGTAAACCTCATCCTTTCATTTTGTTTGCAGATATGGGATATTATCTTTTTCAACTAATTTAAATTACTGGTTTTTTGGTTTCTAACAGGCATGTATATGGGACTACTTCAACAAACAGAAACAAGTCATATTAGATGTGACAAGCCAAACCCTAGAGGAATTAAACTTGCAGATGGATCAACATGTGAGTACTTATTCATCGTATTTATTGTATGCGTATATCAATCCGAGAGGGAGTAGCTTTGAGGAGGATGTATAGATAGAAGATTACTCTTTCTTGCTTTCAATTCCTATGTTTCATTCATTCCTTATGAGTTATGAGTTTCTATTTTAAGGGAACATTCCTTCCTTGCAGTGTTTTCGAGGCGCACCCTGGCGTTCGCCTCAGGCGAGAGGCGAGGCGTTTTCGCCCAGGTGTGCCACTCAAGGTGCCCAGGCGAGCGCCTTCAATCGGGCGCTCACCTTTGGGCGCCTTGGTGCCTTCGCCATAAGGCGAGGCGAGCGCCTCTTTGAAGTGATGCGACCTTACTTTTTTTTTTACCTTTTTTCTTTTTTTGTTATAATGTTAAAAACCCACTAAAGAAACTCTAAGAAGATGAAAATCCACACCCTAAAATCGAAATACCCACACCCGAAAACCTAACTCCTCTGTTGTCGCCGCCTTTGCCGCAAGACTATGAAGCCATCTCACTTTCCTTCTCCTTCTTTGTAAACAGCCAAAAGATTTAGTCTCACTCACCTCACTCACCTATGAACTGGTTGTGCTCGAAAACGAAGAAAAGAAGAGTAATAGAAGAAGAAGAATCGGAAAAGAAGTAGAAGAAGAATTAAAAATAGAATAAAAGAGTTGGGTATTTGATGTTTCATGGAGTCTTTTCCTATTCCCTTTTAGGTTCTCAAGGCACTAATTATATGCAATTATCTTGCCATCTGGCAGAAAAGGCAAGATGGCAATAAATTATTTTATTTAAGTTAATTTGTGATTTAAATTTTATTTTATTTTAGTATTCTATTTATTTAACCTCTAATTTTATTATTTTCTTTTTAAATTTATATTTTTTATTTTTCTTAAGTTAAAATTTATATGCACATTAAATAGTTTTACAAATATCTTCATCTAGAGTATTTTTTATACATAAAATTGCTATTTTTATTATTTTATTAAGTGCGTCTCACTCCACTCGGGCAATACCTTTTTGTCGCCTCTAGGCTTGTTGCCTTAAGGTGTGCCTTGAAAACATTGATTCCTTGTTATGCTTACTATTTCTACTATTCACATCATCATTCTTGGATGATGGTTTTTAATAGAAAGCTTGAATGACAGTGAAATTCATGACATTTGAATGTGGTACATGTACATCAGTTAAATCTCTAGTGGGTTTATTGGGATTTGAGTCTTGGAAGAGATTTTGGTGGTTCATTTTTTAAGGCCAAGAGCAGCATGTTCTTAGGCAAACCGAATTATTTTAAATAATTTTGTGATCTGTACCGTTTACAGCCTCTAATTGGTGTTCTTAACACAAGTTATTTTGTAACTTCTCCACTTATACAATCGGGTTAGATTGGAGGGCGTTCTTGTAGCTTTCTTCCTTGTGGGAGGAGGGACACCTTGTCCCTTTGTCCTTTAGTCTATTTCTTCCCTCTATTTTGTGAATGAAAGGTCACTGTGTTCCTTGGTTGCAAGGAAGCTGCAGAGGGATTAAGTGGATAGGATCCTGAATCATTCAGCCACCTGCAAATGGCATCCCTATTAGGAGTAAATTGAACATTGTGGAGCAAGCAAGAGAGATATTACATAAACATATTTGATTGCCATTGAGGATGTTATGCATATATCCATTTGTTCTTTTGAGTTTTTGTGTTCTCTTTTCCATGATGGAATATCTCGCTCTACATCTGCCATGCATTTTAAATTGGTTCTGCAATCTCTTTATTGGCAATGCTCATTTTAAATTTATCTATTTTAATGTTATTTGTACACCCTCTTCTGCAGATTCTTCTTGAAGTTGATGGACCTACTCCCCAGACTGGCATGGATGCCACTCGAAATGAGTTGGCTTTGGTAGCCCTTGAACCTTCAAGGTCATCTATGTCAATTGCAGGGGGTCCGGTGATGTCAAATGGGCATTCATCTGGTTATGGTTATAGCCTTTATCAGGAAAGTTCTTTAAGTACATCAGTTTCTGACATGGATGATAGAAATGAGGTTGGTACTACTGCAAAAAAGAGAGAGAAGGGTGGTTTGGCAGGGTTGCAGAATTTGGGAAATACATGTTTTATGAATAGTGCCATTCAATGTTTAGTTCACACGCCACCCCTTGTGGAGTATTTTCTGCAAGATTATTCTGAAGAGATTAACTCAGAAAATCCCTTGGGAATGCATGTAGGTGGCCTTTTTTTTCCATTAAATTTGTTTTTAATCATTCGCTTGACAATTTTGCTTTTCTTGAAGTTAAAGTTGACTTTGTGGGTATATTCCATGCTTCTGCAGGGAGAGTTAGCCCTTGCTTTTGGTGAATTGTTGAGGAAATTATGGTCCTCAGGACAAACCACAATTGCACCACGTGCATTTAAGGGAAAGTTAGCTCGTTTTGCTCCCCAGTTCAGTGGTTATAACCAGCATGATTCCCAAGTTAGTACCATCACATATGACATATCTATTAATACTTGTTTTGTTTATGTGGTTTTGCTCATTTCCTAGGTGACCTCTCTATTCTCCCACAATTAGGTGCTACTGTATTTGCATTTTTATTGTTTGATTATAGTTGTGAACAGCTGAATCTATTGAACAGTTTCTTATGAGAAAAACATGTATAATTGTGAATAATCGTATAGCCTTTGGAAGCCTCATATGATCTGTTTCATTCACCTAATGGCAGTTAGTGTATCAGATGCTCGGATAAATTTAGTAAGAGTCTGAGCTGACAATTTTTTTTAACCTTTTGGAAAAATTAGTATCATTTTGTATACTTAGATGATAACCTCCCATCTTCTGATGAGATTTCAACTATTATGGGTATGTGATGAGGTGATCTAACTCGGAGCAGTGCACCTTTTACCAATGCCATTTTCTTATCTTTCTCTTCTCTTTAACTCGTTTTTCTTCTCTTTCATCTAAATATATCTTTAATTTATTTTTCTTTTGTTTATTATTTTAGAAACTTTATATTAGAGATTTTATAATTTGAAATTCTATATGCTTTGAAGAGATGATTTTTTAAGTATTTTGATTTTTTAATATATATATTGCATCTCCCCTCAGGCTCGTATCTCACTTTCTGCTTACACTGAAACCCAATTTTTGCCCTTTTGTGACTTATGTTTTAACAAGCACTCATTTTAATATTTCTGATGTCCATTTAAACAATGATACTAATATTATAAAAGGCTCTCAGAGTGAGCATAACTTTTCGCCTTGAAGCTGTTGCCTTCTTTGAATCATGAGAGGTTCGTGCCTCTATAAATCGCACTAAGGCTGAATCATGTAATGATTGGAAGAACGATATTAATTTGATACCTATTGTTAAAAAATATAGTAGTTACAGGTAGGTAACGCTAAAACACCATATGCTGTTCCACCAAAGATTAAAATACTAAAGATAAAAATTTAAATAATCTTAATAAAGTGACATTTAATTGACATGATTTTTTTTTTGTACTATTAAATAAACATTATGTTTAATTATACCCATATTTAGGGCTCCTACTCGGAAATTATATCCATAAAAATAATAATAAATTGAGGTTTATGCCTCATACCACCTTGAAGTCTATGCCTAACCTCTTTAGGGAAAGAAAAAAGCATCAAGCCCTTATTTAACATAAAGTATTGGCTCATTAGACCCATTGTACTGATATTTCCAACTTCCTCACTCTCTCTAGCAAAGGAGTGGGGAACCTACTTCAATCAGAATTCAATTTCAAGGAAGTAGTCAATTTGGCTAGAATTTTTAAGGAAATTAAATTCGAATTTCTGATATATTGCATGAGATTGTCAATGTTCAGACGAGAGATAGAGTGCATCAATTTTTTTTTTCCTTTCAGATGTTGAATTTGTTCTCAAACCGGCTGCATTGATATAGTTTAAGTTTAACCTTGGTAAGATGTCTTTCTCTAGGAACTCCTTGCCTTCTTACTGGATGGATTGCATGAAGATTTGAATCGTGTTAAAAGGAAGCCTTATTTTGAAACAAAGGATTCTGATGGTCGTCCAGATGAAGAAGTTGCAGATGAGTGTTGGAGATACCATAAAGCACGAAATGATTCTTTAATTGTAGATGTTTGTCAAGTAAGTAGCTTGATATATTTGAGAATCTTATTGCATAATCATCCTAGCTTGGCACCATTGCTTTCGAAATGGCTCTAGGTGCTTCTTTCTTTCATCTTTATCTCAATGAGAGCTTCCTACCTTCTAAAAAGAAAAAAAGAGAGAGAGAGAGATTGCAGGTACTTCTAAGTTGTATGATCTGTGGATATAAATGTTATTTTCTGTTAAGAAGTTTTCATGTTTATACTCTAAACATTCTCCTTTTTAATCGTTCAATTTTAGTCATTTACCTGTTGTTTCGACTTAATTTAGTATAAATTCATGGACGTTTTAAGTTGGTTTTTCGTTTGGACTGTTTAGTTAAGATTTAAAATTTTCAATTTATTTTCTTACTATGTATAATTGGTTAAACTCACAGGGCCAATATAAGTCAACATTGGTTTGTCCACTTTGTGGGAAAATCTCAATTACTTTTGATCCATTTATGTATTTGTCATTGCCGCTACCTTCAACTGTCACCCGGACTGTGACAGTAACTGTGTTCTATGGTGATGGTAGTGGTCTTCCAATGCCATATACTGTGACAGTGCAAAGACATGGTTACACCAAAGATCTTACCCTTGCATTGGCTGCTGCTTGTTGCTTGAAGAGTGATGAAAATCTTCTGCTTGCAGAGGTAAACATGTCTCTTTCTTTTTCTTTCTCCTCTGTTATAATTATTCTTTAATCTTGATGTATGATCATTGTTCTTTTCTTATTTTTAGATTTTGACTGAAGTTCTGAATTTAATTGTCAGGTTTATGATCATCGTATTTACCGATATTTTGAGAATCCTTTGGAATCATTGACTTCAATTAAAGACGAAGAGTATCTTGTTGCCTATCGGCTTCCAAAAAGGGAGTCTGGGAGACCAAAGCTAGAGATCATTCACAGATTGCTGGAAAAGTTTGTTTCCTTTTAAGATTCTAATATTTATAATATGTAGTTGTTAGAGTTTTTGGTATATGAAGTATGAATTTTAGGCGTATCGTATAAGGTGGGGTTATTCAATGAGCACCTGAGCTTTTCTAAGCCCACTTCGTTTTGACTGCCAGACGATGGGTCATACTGGACTCTGTGATCATGTTTGGCTTACTTGTTTTTTGGCTCTGTGCCTGTCTGTGCGTGTGAGTGTGTGTGTGTGTTTTTTTGTGTTAATTTTTTGTTTTGTTTTTTTTTTATATGAAAGATACAATAGTATTTATCGATAGAAACGAACATAATGCCATTGGCAGAGGGAAAAGAAAACCCGCCTCCACCAAAGACTGCATATGGGGAACCAACCCCCAGTCAATGTTGATCAAAGAGTTCCTAAAATTTCAAAAAAATCATCTATAGAGTGCTCAAATTACAGCATAAAACACCATTCCTTGGAAGTAAAATCACGATGAATTAGGTCTCAAAGTTTCCTCATTCTTGTAGCATGACAGGAAACTTTGAAGTCACCATTTACCAGGCAAATGTCTCTCCTCGCGAATCATGATCTTGGTCCTTTTAATATTTTTGGAATTGGTATTTCAAACAGGAAAGCGATGGTTTCATTGTTGATTTTCTTGTGTCCAATTCAAGTTCTCGTATGGTAGATAATGCGTTGGTACTTAGATTGATATATTGTCAGACTCTCTATACTATTATTATTATTTTTTTTTTTTGCCTGAATTTTTTGATGTGTCATTTGGTCCGTAGATGCTCAGACCGTCTGAAGGGATTGGAGAGAAAGCTTTTTGGAACTCCTCTAGTCACGTATTTGGAAGAAGAGTTCCATACTGGAGCTGACATTAATGCAGCTGTGTCTAAAATTCTCTTTCCCTTGAGAAGAACATACTCTTCAACTAAAGCACATAGTAGCAAAGAAAATGGCTTCGTTTCCGATATGAATGATGAACCAGCCAACTGCGATCACCAATCTGTTTCTGGGAGCCAGTCAATTGACATTGAATTAGAAGAAACATCTGAAAAGGAGTCATCCTTTCACCTTCTTTTAACCGACGATAGGGGTTTGAGCTGCAAGCCAATTGAGAAGGATTCTGCTATTAAATATGGTCCAGTTGTAAAGGTTTTCCTGGATTGGACTGATAGAGAACACGAATTATATGATGAGGGCTACATCAAGGATCTTCCTCCAGTTCACCAGACAAGGTTCATGAAGAAAACACGGCAGGAAGCAGTTTCTTTATTTTCTTGCCTGGAAGCATTCCTGACGGAAGAACCTTTAGGTCCCGATGACATGTGGTAATATGATGTCCCTTAATCTAATCTTTTTTTGTATATCCAAAATATATGGTGACATTAACTACATCCTTTTTGCAGGTACTGCCCTCGGTGCAAGGAGCATAGACAGGCTACTAAGAAGTTAGACTTGTGGAAGTTGCCAGAGATTATTGTTTTTCACTTGAAACGTTTTTCATACAGTAGATACCTGAAAAACAAACTTGATACCTTTGTTGATTTCCCCATTCACAATCTTGATTTGAGCAAATATGTCAAATGCAATGATGGAAAAGCTCACTTATACAACCTATATTCTATTAGCAACCATTATGGTGGTCTTGGCGGAGGGCACTACACTGCATACGCTAAGGTACGGCAGTCAAATTTTCTTCCTCCTAAATATTTCCTCGAGCTAGAATTGTCTACTCAAAATTTGGCTGGACTCTGGAAGATAAAAGATTCATAGTAAATTAATTAAAGAATGATGACATCAGTTTTTGCTTTTTTTTTTTTTAATAAGAACTCTTCGATAATAAATAAACATGTGTGTTACTCTACAATTATTGTACACATCTCAGTCTCATGTTAACTGCTTTTAACCAAACCATTTGTGAGTTAGTTTTGAATGATCTTTTTGTGCCATGCAAGGCCTCAGATCTTGTTTTTTTCCTCATCTGCAGTTAGTTGATGAGAAGAGATGGTACCACTTCGATGACAGTCATGTTTCCCCGGTTGGCGAAGAAGAGATCAAAACATCGGCTGCCTATTTGTTGTTCTATCAAAGAGTTGGAAAATGACTTGGAACAAAGCTTCATGGCCCTCTACTAGAAGTGGCAATGGTTCTTGACTATGCTGTTTCAACTTCATTCCTGCCGCTATAAGGAAAGTTTAGTTTATCATGGTTCACCATTAATCAGGCCAAACAAGGGAGGAGTAGAACAGTTCTGATTTTGCAGAAGAAACGTGGAATTCGGTACATAAAATATAGTCTGGCTTCAGAGTATATGATTCGAGCATCAAAACTGGATTAATTCTATTTAAAATTACGTTTATCTCATTCATTAACAGAAATTTTGTTGTGTGGTTAGATGGGTCGTGTAGATTTGTAGCAAATCTGCCTCTAGAGGCAAAAGTGGGGTCTATCATTCATTTGTAAGCTGCTGCTACTACTTGCTTCTGATTAATACCTAATTTTCTTCATGTCTACATGCCATAGTGTTGCTGTGTAGGAATTTTTTACTGTGTAATTCCAATATTAACACTAACCCTTTATATTTCTACTAAACCATACCTTTGTTATTACTTTGAATGACACTTTAAATTCTCTCTGAAACTCAATATATTTTTGTTCTAAATTTGGGTTTCTGAACTTTGTGTGAAAGATCATTACTTTATTTATGATTCCACTGATCTTATTGGAAATCTAAATATTGTTAGAGATTTAACGTATAAGGGTCTGTGTATCTGTTTCTTGTTTACTTCATTTTAATAAAGAAGAATATAGTTACATTTTGTAACTATTTCTTTTTCTTTATAAATCAAGAAAGATAAAATAATATTTTTATTTACATTTTATTAAAAAGAAACGGAAACGTCACGGAATGAGTCCCTGCTAACTGGTTTCTAAATAATAGATAGTTATTCTTCTGTAAAATTATTTAGTAGAAGAGATTAACAAGAAGATGATTTCATTCTTAGGGTTTATATAATTTGAAACTTTGCATACAATATCAAATTTAATCTAAACACGATTGTATGCAAGGTTTAGAATCTAAATAGAATGTTTGGAAATTTGGAAAGCTAAATGGAATAAATTTAGCAGGACTTGGGAGCAAAATAATATTTAAATCGAAAATGATATATTGGATGCAGGTTCATAATAATAATCATGGAAAATTAGCAATTAGAAAATTTTACTGCTTGAGCATTTAATTTTTTAAATTATAAATTTATTTTTTGGTAAAAATAGGGGTTGGTCTGGCTTAGTTGAACCAAGTTGGTGTTTTTTTTTTTTTTGGAAAATTAAGTTGGGAGTGGGACGATAAAGGGAGCTGAGTCGACTTAATTATTACACTAACAATTTAGTTTATTCAATTCAATGATTTCCAAATTCGAGAAATGTGGTCTAAATGACATCTTGACCTACTCTTCTACTATCATCTAGATAACTAGATATGAAGGAGACTTTGTAGAACCATTGAGATGACAATATCTAATAAAGGCAAATAAAGACTCACATTGAATTAGAAAGAGGGACAATTATCTCCATTGGTATGAGATATTTTTGGTGAAATTAAAAACAAAGTCGTGATGACTATTCTCAAAGCTAACAATATCATACTATTGTAAAGTTACTTGAGATACCATTGTCCTCGATCATTCTTATCCCTTTTCAATGTTTAGGTTTTGCACGCTATATATGAATAAGGGATTCTCTATTTAAGGAAGGTACTAGCCAAGATCTTTGGTCCCCATTTAGACGTGTACTCAAAATTTTACGATTACACTTCTGCATTGGGATAAAAATAACTCCAAATCCAGATATATGGTAAACTTTTATTTTGAGTTCCTATAAGATACTCTAAAACTATTAGGTTGGTTGGTTTAAATTATGTCCCTATTTTTATGAAAGTTCACTTCAACCCTTAAATTTTCTGAGTTATCTTTTGTAGACTCCTTCATTTATCTTCTTGATGATAAGTAAGGAGAGTTGCTAGCATTCCCTCACTATTTTTCAAGCCTTAATCCCAACGAACTATTGGCCGCGAGAGAGAAACGTCCATTTTTTACCGTTGATCATGAGTGAAAGAAGTGAAAAAGATAATTAGCATTTTTTCCTCCCGAATCCTAAACATCTAAGCTACCGGAATGGGTCCTATAATTCAAGAGTATTTTGTATAATTTAGCCTTGCAAAAATGAGAGTCCAAAAATCTCTAAATATTTCAAGAAGTCCAGTTAGAATCAAACGTGGAGAATAGAGGAGAGAATTACATGAAAAGGCAAACTAATAAAATTTCATACTAAATAACATTACAAAAGAACAAGTTTGGATCATCCATCCACCAGATTTTATGTCCATCAACGAACCCAATTCACATAAAAATTATTAATTAATAAGACACTGATATTTCCCTGTAAAAAAGCAGGATAAAAAAGAGATATTAACAGGTCAGATCCAGCTAAGAATGTCAAATGGAATGCATATAAAACAGAAAATGATAAAAATTCCAAACTGAACTTTTTCTTTTGTCACATGGCTCTGTCAGTTGTTCGTCCCCACTCCATTAAGTGACTAGAAGTAAATTCAAGAAACTATCAATAAAACTGTAACTTTTTCGTGGTAAAATGATTACTATGACCACCTAACAATCCCAAAAATAAAAAAATAAAAAATTTATGCTGAAATCTTCATTTTTGGAAAAAAAAAGGATCAGATTAATTAACCAGTAAAAGAATAAACAAAACACAAACCTGAGAATATAAAAAGAAAAGGGTGGGAAGCAAAGATCTCATGAAGTGTAGCAAAAGTCCAAAATATTACAAAAGCACTCTTCAATTGAAAAAAAATAACAAGTATGGCGAATAGGGTTCTCTTTTCAATCCTTTTTTCACATGTGAAACGATGGTTTTCATAATTATTGCTAAAGAGGTTATGATTAAACGGTCTACAGGGAACTGTTCACTTAAAAATGTGAACAAGATTGAAGATTTGTCTCTCACTTAGTTTTCTGTTTTAGAAATTATAAAAATGATTTCAATTCATAATTTCAACCTTTTGCTAGCAGTAAAGCAGAAGCCGAATACTTTTTCTTATGGTCACAGACAAAAGAATAGCAAAAAGAAAGGCATGGAAATAAAAGAGAAGATAGTCGCGTACAAGAAAAGGAACGGAATTTTTACCTTTTCCCAAATCCGACGCTGCCTCTTATTCTCTTTAGCATCATCTCCCAATTTGCTTTTAACGGCTGATTCTGATAAATGAAATAAATCCAAAGCATCTTTCGGAAACATACACTGGAAAACAAAATAATCTCCTAAATTCAAAGTAGCAACTTGAACAGCATAAGAAACATGCACGCTGAGAAGAATCCAAGCCAATGGCTTCTCTCCTGCCACCAAAACATCATCACTGTTTTTCAGTCTCCACAACAGTCACACAAACAGATACATTAATAATTTTATGCAACAGCGATTAACTCAAATTTCTCCAATCATTTAATTTCGCTTAAATGATTCAATAAACTGCGAGTAAATTTTAAATATTCAACAAGAAAAAGAGGAAATTTGGGCCCTTTAGACAGTGCGCATCTCCACAATGGCATTGCACTGCATAAAAGGATCCCCCAAGAAATGTTTTATAACTCGAGCTCTGTTTTTAATCTACTTGGCTTGAAACCTTGAGCTCCCTATTGGAATTGGAATGTTTCTTAACAAAAGTTCTAAAAAGCCTGCCGAATCATACAGATATTCTGTGCTGCCAAAGGGAAAAATAAACATAAAGATGAATTTAGAACTGGACCACAGCAGCAGGGGATATGCATATGGCTGCAAATAACACTGCTAGAATGGCCTCAAAGTTATCAGGATGAGTATCCAATTGGGCTAATGTATCCATGTGCTCCCCCCAATGAAAATGATCAATCACAGAGATGGCCCCCACTCAATTCTTTCCAATTCAAACTCTCGTTTTCTCAATTTCCGGTGATTAGAAATTTCAGAAAAATGAACTCTTTTCACGTTACAGATTGGAAAAAAGCTTAGTTTAACCCTACACATGTTTTTACCATTGTCACTTTATGAACCTGTAGCGCAAATCAAGCAAAAGATATAACCATAATCATGAAAGCGATAAAGGTAATTGGAAAAAAGTTACCGTGGCGGAGGAAATGGACAAATAACCAGTGGAGGTAGTGGGAGATCCCGGCGGCGAAGGTTGCGTGCCGGAAGTGCCATGGGTCCCGTTTCCGACGGCGTCGTTTATGGTAAACCCTAGCTGATACACCGGCGTACCATCAGGTTTAAAGAGACCGTAATTCCTCTCCGAAGTCGGTCCGGGCTTCATATTCTCGTTAAACAAAGCAAACACATAAATGTTGAGGTCCGAGCTCGGCCTCAATGGCGTTCCCTTCTTCTGGCAGATGAACTTGAGAAGGTTACCATTGTATTTCTTCGCATTGTCCGGAGTCGCACCAGCCTCGTCTTCGTCTCCCTTCGACGGCCATCCAGTCTCCGAGATGTGAACGGGAAGTTTCTTGTAACCAACTGCGGCGAGCGCAGAGTACACCGCGTCGATCTGTGCGAACAGCATGTTGTCGTAGTGAAGATTCGTGCCGGGATCTAAAACCCCTTGGTTCGGTTGGAAGAGGACGAAGTCAAGTGAGACCTGCTTCGGATTCGCCTTGTATGCAAAGTAAGGATAGGCATTAATCAAGAAAGGCGAGCCGATCTTGACATGGAAGTCCAAAATTGGGGTCAAACAATCAACTAAATCTCTTCGGAAGACTCCGGCGGAAGGCGGATAAGAGGTTTCAAGTATTGCCAGAGAATGTGCCGTCGTCACCGCCACCTGCTTATCCAGCCCTAGATTTACGAGCGCCGTGTGCACGCTCTGCATCGCCGGTAGTAGATTGGCACTGAGAGAAGTATCATTGAAGGTTAACACCTCATTGCCGACGAAAATGGAAGTGATTCTAGTTCCAGGCAAGTAATCCTGAACATTATTCTTCACCCACTCTTGAGCGCACGCTGGATTCTTCATTTTGGCCAAGTACTCGTTTCCAAGTCCGACTATGAACTCCACGCTTGTATTAGCAAATGCGCGAAGGACCTTGGGACTCGCATCGTACAGCTTCACCTTCGTAGCCCCAATCGATTTAACCAGCGAGATTACATTCTCCGGAGCGGGAAGATTGTTCGCTATCTGACCGTAGTTCACTCCAATTGAACTCACCATTACAGGCAGCAACAAACCTTCACACAACAACAAGTTCTTCACGATACTCCTCAATTTCACAAAAATCCACATCTCAGACAACAACAGCAAAGAAAAAAAAAAGAACAAGTTCATGATATTCCAGATCACCTGAAACCAGAAGAAGAAATACCGAACAGCATTGCTCGAATCCGGGCCTCCTGAGCTCCATGGAGCTTGAAACTTCAGTAGGCAAGTAAAATTCGAAGTGCGAAAATGCTAATCACTGCAGTGAAGAGTGAGAGTGAACGGCGATATAGAGGTAGGGGAATCGGTCTCAACAGTGCCGTCGAAGGCAATAGCCGGAGAAATCGACGATGAGCCGCCGGCCGCCGTCTGGTTTGAGTGTGGACAGAGAGTTGAGTAGGCGGCGGAAGCAAACTGAAGAGCCGTGCGGTTGTGGTCATTTTGTAGAACGTTGAGATGGACGGCGTAAAGTAAAAAAAGGGGAAAAAAAGTGTCGAGTATCAATTCGTTAAAACATTATATTATAAACTTTTCAATTTAGTATAATTGTTATCACATTACAATCATTTGCAATTTTCATTCTCTTTTCTTTTCCATCTTTTAATATATGATTAATTTCACGTCACTATCCCCACTATCCGAAATTAGGCATAGTTCGATGGATAAGATATCTTATGAAATTTCAGAAAATTAAGTTTTGAGACTTCCACTTTTTTAAATTGAGGGACCTAGTGATATAATTGTAAAAGTTTAGAGATCAAACTTATAATTTAATCACAATTATTTTAGTTCTCGAACTTCTAATAAAATAATTATTTCGATCTTTACTATTACTCTACCATTTAAAATATGTACTTTAGTATCTATCTTGGTCAACCTATGCAGTGTCTAATATATGCTTGTATTAATATGTTAATACATAAATTCAACCATATTTATTTTTAATCTTTAAACTTTTTTTATAAAATAATTATTTCGATGTTTGTTATTATTCTACCATCTGATGTTTGCACTAATATTTATCTAAACTTATTTATGTTGCTCTAATTCGTGTCCTGCAGAAACCATATTATTAATGTATTAAATAATAAATGACAAAAACATAGCAGAAACTAGAATAGTTAATTTTTGAAGGCTGACGAAGTAGAGGGTTGAGGACGAAAGTGTAATTCACTTCAAACCCATAGAAAAATAAAACTTTCTCACCATTTATTGTCATTTGGCACCATCTTCCAATGATTCTCATCCCACGTGAATTTTTCTTTTATGATATTCTTTTGTATATTGCCCTAATAAAGTATTATTCTTTTTCCAAGTGACTGTATATTTGTATGTGACATTAATAGAGATGGTCGATGAATTGGAGAAGAGTTTGCGGATGTTACCGGTATCTCAAATATCTCCACAATTGTATTCTTACTACTTTACTTTTGATTTCACCTCAAAAATCTTATGTCAATGGAGATAACGTTCTTATATATGTAACATGGATCACTCTATCTTTCTTAATTAGTGTGAGACTTTATTTGCATACTTTGCAATCCGACTGGAGATGCCCTTCTCGTGTGTAGTTCTTTGCAATTCTTAGTCCTCATATTATTGTTATATTCTTTTCTTTTTTTTTTTTTTTACGAATAATCAAGATGGGTCTGGAGAATCCCCTATTGTGTGGGTCAAGTATCCTTTTAGTTTGATTATAAATCTGGTCTCTATAGTATAGTTTAGTTTTAATTGGGTAAGAATAAGGTAGGTTTATTAAGGGCAATGTCAAGAACCCTGATGGTGATTTGCTACATGCTTGGAAGTGCAGTAATGACATTGTAACTTCTTGGATTATGAATTCAATCTCAAATAAATCATAGCGACTATTGTCTATTTAGATTCGACTAAAGAAATATGGGATGAATTTAAGGACCGATTTAAACAGAACAATGACCCACAATTTTTTTAAAAATCAATTATGCAAAGTGTTGGTGACTATTGCTAGGGCTCCAATATTTGTTGAAGCTTACTACATCGAATTGAAGACTGTGTGACAAGAGTTGAGTAAAAATCAAACGACTAATAAGTGTTCTTGTGAATGATTAAAAGATTGCCTTCATTCTGAATATGTTACGGTGCTCTTGATGAGGCTCAATGATTTTTACCTAGAGTCGGGGCACAAACTCCATCTTGACTCTTGAAGGAGTGTATTAGTTATAACAATTTAGTTAACTAGGATTACTTGAGTTGAAGTTTATTTAGTTTAGTGTTGGTTATAGTTTTTTACATTTAGTGAATTAGCCTCAATATAATATAATTCAGATGAATAATACAACTTTCTTTCCCAAACACGTGTTATTGAGTAAGAAATAGAGGAATAAATGAATGGATTTTTAAAGGTGAAAGTAGATTTAGGGACCATTTATGAGGTCTAATCTAACCAAATGGACCAATTGGAAAATTTAAAATCACAAAGATCAAATTAAATTAAACCTAAACGATAAGAATTAAATTGAAATTTTTAAAACCAAAAGAACCACATTAAACCTAATCTCAAAATATAGAACCAAATTAAAACCAAACTCAAATTATAGCTATACCAAAAAAATTTCATTTGCATTTCATAAAATTAATTGAATACTAATTTATATCAAAAAGCATATATTTTATGTAAAAAAAAAAGATCAAATTTAATTTTCTTAGTTTTGAAAATCAAAACTTAGAAATATATAGTTATATACCACATTTTCCTTTAATTGTAAAGCATAAGATAATCATTACTATTAATAATGTAAAATATTTGGGGATGTGAGTAGATTTTTAGGAGCAAAATGCATTCTTCATCTTCATCCCAAAAATCAATCCATAAAAAAATAATATCATTCTAGACCTCGTCTTTACAGAGAAGAGAACAACCCACCGGAAGGGCATACCTCAGGAGCACCCCCGGGAAACATCGAGATGCACGAAGCCGACCTATATCTCGAATCGAAAGAAAAATGCAGGAAAGGAAAATTAAATATGAAAGAAAAAAGATGCTTTGGGAGTGTGAGATACGCGGACGGGGAGTACGCAGCCGAACAACCGCAGGAGCTTCCAGCAGTGATAGCTGCCCCCACCAGATGGGCCGCCCAAAACCGATTCTCCATTGTTAGTCAAGGCAAGATAAAATTTAACTCAGATGTAAGCTGTATCAATCCAATTATAAATAAATAACATGATGAAGATATACACCATCGTCCAAATAAATATGAGGTTGTGATAACTACTCCTCATTTCAAAGAGAAAGGTAAGATATTCGAATCCCGAACCACATTTGTACTAAAACAAAATAATTTTTGGCCAATTTTGTTTAAATTGGTATCATCAGTTATTTCCAAGAAACACCCTTTAGATCTATCCACAAGCAAATTTGCAAGAGGCTGAAGAACAGAACTACAGGATGCACTATACCATACTATTTACTTGCACTCTACAACAAAAGTTCAAAAGCAAAAAATTTGCAAATGTAGTTTATTTTCTGATTCTTTTTTCCTTGCCAGAACACAACGATCACAGGGCTCTCATGTCCTGAGGAGAAGCAGCATCAATTGGAGAGTGGCCTCAATTTTCCAGGGCCATTTCACCTGCTGGAAGCTGAATTTGTTACATCAAACAACTGCTTCAGAACTCTCCTCTTCTTCTTCCTCTTCGTATCCATATCCATTAGCAAGCAATTGGCATATACTAAGAGAAACTGGAAAATTATGTTGACATACCACTTTTGCCAGTTTCCTTAGGGGGTGGCAACGTTTTCCTTGGCAAGAGGAGCAATTTCCTCTCCGTCTGTTCCAGGTTGACTGTTATCTACTCCCAAGCTTAACAACAGTTTTTCCCATAGTTTAGCAGGAGCCTGCATAAATTACACGAAACAACGACGTTTTTCTTTTTCAGCCGAATACAAAGTAAGAAATTATATGTGGTGCTCAAACGAGCATGATCCGATGATGAGAAAGGTTTTATATGATGTGGGATAAAGGATTAGCGTTGGAACTAACCTTCCATGAGAAATCTTGAGCCATACAGTTCTGTATCATTTCTCTGTGGGCAGCGGTGCCGAAGAGCGCAATAGCTCTTATTACAGTTTTAGCAATTGCAGCTGCATCAGCTGGATCAACCGTTTCACACTGGAAGACACCAGCAAGAACTTGGATTACAATTTGCAACATTAATTCCAAACGAAAAGGGAAACAAAATGGAAGCAGTTCCGTCGAGGGATTAGAAATTATCAATGCTTACTTCAACACTGAAAGGACCCATTTGGAGCCCTGTATAACCGTCAATAACGGTGTCGGCAAGTCCACCAGTTGTGCTTACCAAAGGAATCTGAAAGTGAAACATATGAACACTATCAAGCTACTGTGTTGGAACTGCCAACAGAAGTTTGCCCAACTATCAGATGGTTTAAAATCTGTAAACGGGAAGATAAATATGTGTATATATGAGATTTTTGGTGCCTTACTGTGCCATAAGGCATAGCTTGCAACTGGATGAGACCACAGGGTTCGAATCTACTTGGAATGATCAAGAAATCAGCTGCAGCATTTATAAGATGTGCTAAAGGAACGTTGAATTTTGCCACGCCTCTAGCCTTGTCAGGATATTTGATCTCTAGCTCTTCAAGCTGTTGTTCTAAGTACTTCTTGCCAGTTCCCTAGCAGAAAGAAAATGGAAATCAACTTCCATCCAAATACGGCAGTCGTTTGGCAAAAGAAATGAGTTATATATATACGTACAAGGACCACCAATTGGACATTTTCATGAATGAACTTCGGAATGGCTGATGATAGGATATCTGATCCCTTTTGCTCCTCTAGTCTACCAATAAATCCTATCAGAGGGATGTTCCTGTCAACGGGCAATCCAACTTCTGCTTGAAGAGCTTCTTTCAAAAGAGCTTTAGCTTCGGCAACCTGAAAATGAATATATGGTCAAGAAATTTCTTCCATCAATTTAGAAGGAAACTATGAACCCTTTCAGTTGCTTACAGTTTCAGCATTGAATTTGATAGGAATGTATCTGTCAGTGGTAGGGTTCCACTCTTGTACATCCATGCCATTCAAAATACCAGTAACAGTGGTTAAACGAAGAATGCTATCCAATTCAACACCCCGGTCAATTCCAGAAACAAGTTCCTGGGCATAGTATGGACTAACAGTCAGCACTCTATCTGATTCCAATATTGCAGCCTTCATCCAATTGATTTTTCTTCCTTTCACAGGCTTGACATACCTAGAAACCAAGATTTCTTAGGACACATTGTGAGAAAATAATTTTTCGGGATACAGATTAAAGGGAAAGTATCAGATGGCACTCACCCATCAGTAAAGTCAAAGGAACTCTTGAATTGATCGGGCAAATTCAGAAGGGAAAAGTCTGAGAAGGCAAATCTGCCTTGGTAAGCAATGTTGTGAATGCAGAAAGCAACCTGTTCGCATTTATGAATCCAACATCAGCTCCTGAATAATGATACAAAAGAGTCTACTGAAACAGTGAATATGAACCTGGCACAAACCTACCTTGGCACTTCCATAAATTCCCCTTGCTTGATACATGGTTTTCAGGTAACATGGAAGAAGAGCTGTGTGCCAATCATTGGCAACGAATACAACGTCCTCCCCTGCCATGAATATCAAATCGTACATACTTTGTAAATCATTTCTCAACTAGTAACTATTAATTTGAGATAACTAGGGAAAAAAACGAATACATACCATACGGTCCTGAGAAGTACTTGTTGCTGTTCAAATTTAGAACCAGAGGTGCTAACAGAGCAGCCTGATAAGCAAAGGTATTCGATGGTTAAATGTATAATAGATATTGAAGCACTAGAAAGTATGTCATCAGGAGGAAATTCATCAATTTGCAAATTGGGTACTTCTATACACAAACTTCTTATAGATGTCGCCATTTCTGAACGACTAGTACAATCTTTTAAACAATTTCTTTACAATCTTAACAGAAGTTTTATTTGTTTACTTTCATAAGAAAACAAATTTCAATGATGTAAGGAAAAAAACCCTTCGAGGTTACAAAATGGCACTCAATGGAAGTTAACTAACTAGATTATAACTATTAGTTCTATTATTGTGTTGATCCCAATATGAGACCTAGCTGGACAAGCATAATGAGACGTATCAAGGCAAGTGTTTTTAGTTGTCTTCCTATTATCCCGCTCCTCAAGGCTGAAAAGATGATCTGTAAATAAAAGGAATGCAAGATGAGTCACCTGGCACAATAAGCTAAACCGCAACTGATTGTTGTCATAATCTACTCCTGCCTTAGGTCCATAGAGTTTAGATTTAGTTTTGCCCCAAACCTGTTGAGATCCAAAATGTCAATCTTGAAAGATCTAGTAGAACCAGCTACTGAGACTTCAGTTATGGAATTCAATTCATACCTTTTCCAGAAACATTGGGTGATCAACAAATACTCGATCAACTCCACGTTTGTAGCAATGGAAGAACCGTACAGTTAAGATTTCATCCCCAACTTGTACCTGGTCATGTTCATTAAGATATCACTAAACTATTTCACTTTTGTCCCCTCCCCACAAAGGATGATCATTTCCTGAAGATGAACTTATTTACCTCAACTGTAACATTAGTGTCCCAAGCATCTTTGTACTGATCATAGCGAGGAGTTATTGTCATGACACGATGTCCTCTAGCCTATAAAATAAAGAGCAGGCAAAAATCAGGCTGTAGCACGAAAATAATGGCTTCTGAAAATAAGCGAAATAGAATTGAAGCTTGGGAAACAGAAACTTCACTTACAGCCAATGCTGGAGGCAATCCTCCAAGAACATCACCAAGCCCACCAGTTTTGCTCCATGGAGCAACTTCAGTAGCCACAAACACCATGTTCATCCCTTGTGCACACACAATTTTCCCACCAGTTTTACCGAGTTCGTCAGTTTTTCTACTGGCTGTCCTGGAAATTGCAGTTACAGCGGTTTTCTTCCGCAACACATCCAATTTGTTCAAGGATTTCAATCCATTGTGAGTTTCTGCTTGGTTCCTCAGGTCAACCTGTGATAGGCTCGTTTTGGTCTCTGAGCCTGAAGCCCCGTGACTAATGACGAGAGAACTCCTCGATACAAAGTTGGAGACGGTCACGGTTCCCATTGATGCCATCCTTGATCTAAAACAACATTCGGAACAATCAGTTTAAGCCTTCTGCTTCAGAAATCAATGAATTATACTCCAGAAAAGGGCAAATGACTGGACACGACAGTGAAGATTACTTAGGAACAAATAACGGTGCGATCATGGTGAAAAGCAAGCTAAAAGTTCCAGAATCTATCGTAACGAAAACTCCCAAGCTCAATCTCGCTCCGACCGCTTTCATAAAAATTTATTCAGTCAGAGAACGCGACTCTCAGAATAAGAGTTTCATTGGAACAGGAGGTCATGAAACTAGGAAGCATTAGTAAGAGCCAACCACTTACCGGAAGAAAGACGATTATATGAGAAAACACCAACCAGCTAGACCGAATACCACACTTCAAAAGCTTCAAACGGAAAGAAAAGAAAAACAAACGAAATGCGAATCGATCGCAAAGCAAAACTAAACTATCATCACGAAGCAGAGACATTTGCAGAGAGTAGTTAACAAGAATAAGAGAAGAAGAGGAAGGAGAACTCACCGGCAATGAATGAAGCGAGCCGCAAGAAAGACGTCGTCTCCGGTGCAAACTGCGATGCTCGGAAACAATGGCCGCTGCGAGATCTCAGGAACATCCCCGGTACTTGTACTGGTTCACAGACTTCTCGAGGGTGACACGTGGCGAATATTTAGTGGGCGAGCGTGGGAGCTCAGGGGTGGCACGTGAGAGGTGGGGCCGGGGCATCGGTGGGAATATACTGAAAGTTTGGGGTCAATGAAGATTGGAGAACGAAGGCCACCTATGGGGAAGAAGGGGATATTTTACAGAGCCAAAACGACGTCGCAACGTGGGGCTTGGTAGTGGCTACACTTACAGCTGGTCCCACGGATGGGACGTAATAACATATAAGGAACCTACGCCAAGAACTTGTGTTTCGTCTATACCAGGAAAATTATTATTATTATTTTGATTTGTGAATCAACGGTGGAAAATTAAGGCCAAACTACCATTTGCTTTCCATGTGTTTAAATCAAATATACTCATTTGTTTACAAATTTTTTATTTTTATAATATTTTTAGTTATCGACATTTCTATGAAATTGAGACTTAGACCCTCCCATCAACATTAACATTTAAAAATTTGGTTAGAATTAAGAATCCAACCTAAAAATGTTAAATCCAAATCCTACCAAAAAAATAAATAAAAAATAGTTGTAATTTGAAAGTTTAAATTTCTTTAAATGACTTGGTAATATAACACATCTATAGGCTAAGAATTTAAATTTTTAACCTTTTACAAATGGCAGCATACATTTTAACTGTTGAACTAGGTTTATATTTACACGTGGTAATATTTTGAGCTCCATAAATTAATTGAGTAAAATATGGATTGTACCAATATAATGTATCAAAATTGTAGCAATAATAAAAATAATTATTTCTTTTTATAACCGATTCTTTCTGATCTCTGTTTTCTAAAAACATTTTTTAAATTCTAAGTACAATAAAATAAATCATTTTTAAAAATGGATTTCTATTTTTCAAATTTTTTTTTCTTCTTAAATTTTTTTTCTTTAACATATTCTTTTTTAACCATTTTTAAGTGGTCTAAATTTCTCCGTATAAAATATTTATCTTTCTCTATCTAAAAGGTTCGTCCCCCTAAAATTTCAACGTTATTTTTTATTTCTAATCTATTTTTTGTCGACTAAATATATATCCAACTTTTATCTATCTAAATTTGTCTTCTTTCAATTTTTTTTCACTATAACCATTTTTTTCGTTGTTTGTATTTATTTATTTATCTCTATCAAATATATCTCGAACTATTTTATGTCTAAATTTTTTTTTTCTCACTATAATGTTTTTTCCTTTCTCTAACATGTATTTCATTCCCAACTTTATTTTTTATCTTAAATTTTATCTTTTCGTCTATAAATTTTATCTCACTAATTTTTTTTGTTCGAAATCATTTTCTTTATTTATCTCTGATCTTACTCTTTACAAAATTTCTGTAAAAGAGTTTCTTTTTATTTCTCTAGAATTTTATTGTAATGTCTTTACACTGACACATTTTCCACCACGTCTTGACCTCATTCCCAATTCTATTTTCTAAATAGTTTATATATACATGCATAGCTATTTTACTAAATTGAATAAAATATTAAATATTTTTTAAACGGATTTTTACAGTAATAGATTAAAAAAATAAGTAAAATAGATATATGTATATTTATTACTCTTTTTGATTTTTGAACTCTAAAAATAATTAAATTTAATTACTAAACCGGTATTTTTCCTATGAATGTTCTCATTCAGTCCAAACGAGGATTTTCCTCGACTTGGATCTCAATTTGCAAAATTGAAGAATGTAATGGAGTCAGAAATTTAAAATTTAGGACATAGATGGAGAGTGCCTCAGGAATTTAAATTTAATTACTAAAATTTAGGACAAAAATTAGGACATAGAGGATTTTCCTTACCTCATTCTCATCCCTACTCTATATAAAACTTTCTATATATCTTTTCAACTCTCTAATTTTTTAAAAATAAAAAATGAAAAAAGATGTGAAACTTTGGTTTTCAATTTTCTAAAAACAAAAAACAAACCACCTTTATCAAATAGATTTGATTTTTTTATTTTCTAAAAATAGAAAACAGAAGAAACCAAAAACTAAAAATAGAAATTATTATCAAATACCCTAAAATGTAATACATCGAAAGTTGAATAACTAAAATAGAGATCTCAAAAATTCAAAATAAAAATAGAATGAATTTTCTCAAAAAAAAATAAAAATAGAATGAATTTCAAAGTTTGACGAATACAATAGAAATTAAAACTTGTTTTTTTAGAGTATTTAGATTACAACTGTGGACAATATTTAATATCATCTCGATAATGAATTTTAAAATTTAATTTTTATGTGGCACTCTCTCTTCTGGTCTCTAGCCCAAGTGGCTTCCTAATTTTTTTTCCACCTCCTAATATTTTCCATCTATAAAATGCATATTTTCATTTAAAAATAAATTCTCTTGTGGCACTCTCGTTATCTCTCCTTTCATTTTCAAGCATACCAAATTGTTCTAGAGAAAATAAGTAATTTCAGAAGAAAATTAATCAAATGATTCACTAAAAATACTCTTTAGGTACTTTTTACCTATTCTTATACATTTTAAAACTATTTTTATTCTTGAAGATTTTAAAATATATTTTTAATTGGTCAAAAGCATTTTTAATGACTCTAAAATTTTAACCAAACACTATAATTTATTTATTATTATTATTTTTTTAAAAGACTTCTAGCCACTATAAGTATAAGCACTTTAAAATAGTGCATCCCAAACACACATTTAAACCTAAGATGTTATTAATATTTAAATTATAAAAAAAATATATATTTGCAATAAATTTTATAAAATTACATATTTGACACCTAGTTTTAGTGTTGAAGAGGACTTTTAATACATAAGTGGGGGGAGGGACACATGAATTAAGGGTCATACATCATAAAGAACAATTTTGGGATGGTGCAAATATAGAACACCATTGATAATAAAGGATTAAAGCTTAAAAGATAAATAAATACTATAATGTGACACTTTTATTTTCAACAACCCATTTACTAAAAATTCTATAGTTAATTAGCATGTTTGATTTAGAACGATTTCATATTTTTATTTTTTGTTTCTTTCTCAAAAGCATATGTTACACTCGAAATGTATTATTTACGCAAGTCCTAGATTATAGTAAGATAACAATAATCATTATTTTTATGCTCTCTTAAATCTTAACTCAATACTCAATCAATCTTAGTGAATAAAGCACCTAAATCTTAGTGAATAAAGCACCTATTTAACTTCTTCGTCAAACAATCACCACATTCACATTTATGTACTAAATTTAAGAAAAAATAAAAACTCGAGCTTTTAAACCCTTGCAATACCTTGGTTCAGTACCACTTTAAAAGTTTTAAATAAATTATTGAATTTTAAGGGTTGTATCTATTTAGTTCCTGTTATTTAAAAAAATTTTAATGGGATACTTAATTTTTGGTCAAATAGACACAACCTTAAAATTACGGGACTCATTAAAAACTTTTAAACTATAATAGGCGTAAATTTGAAAAATTCAAGAATCAAATTTTTTTTAGTTCAACAAATGCAAGGGTGGAAGTTTGAACTTTCAATCTCACTGAAGATGATAGATACTTGAACTATGCTTGAATTGGCACTTAACAAACAAATTTATAATTTAGATTCAATTACAAGTTTAATCTCTGAACTTATAAGTTTATATCTAAAAAGTTTTTGAACTTTACAAAGTCTCCATTAGATTCATACACTTTCAATTTTGTATCCAATAGATTCCTGAATTTTTAATTATGTATTTAAAAGGTCTTCGACCAAATCAACATTTTTTTTTTTAAAATTATGAGCTTTATTAGACACATAATTGAAAATTGAGAGTTCTATGGGATGCAAAATTTAATTTTATGTCGAAGAATATATCAATAAGTTTTAAAAATTATTAAAAATAAAAGACTTATTTAAGTCGAAAAATTCAAGAATTTATTATATATAAAATTAAAAGTTAAATACTATTTTGAATGAAGTTCACCTATAATTTAACTTTATATATAGAAAAAGCAGGTTTGAATTGTACTGCCTCTGCCCGTAATTTGCGAAGACACATGAACGTGGAAAAACAACAGCTGCACGGCAATTTGCAAATAATGCAAGGGGTCCGGTTAGAAGAGTTCGTTCATTTTCATTTAATGATTTTTTTTCCCATTTTTCTTGTCCAAATTTTGAAATTAGCTTTTCATTTTCTTTATTGTATTTTTCGGTTGAAATTTATTCGTTTTATTTAACGTTTCTTACTCAATTTTTTTGGACGTTTTTTTCTGGTAGTATATGTTTATTTTTTTTTGTTTTTGTTTTTCCCATTCCGATAACTTTTAATGGTTCACATGCATGAGTGGGATGAGGGGAGCAGAAAAGGAAGAGAAAATAAGAGACAAGAGACATGAGAGATAGAGTGATTTCGTAGATAGAAAGATTTCTAGGATTATGGAGAGAAACATTTTTTTTTGGTAAGAAGTCATAAATTTGATAAAGAGTAAATTTTGCGCGCTCAAACCTCAACTATTTCACATCCATATTTTTTTTTTTAGTAAAATACATAGTAGTATGAGTAATATTATAATTTACGTTGGAGGCCTCTTATAAACGAGTTAAACTCTAAACAAAAGTAAAAATATTTATAAATTTAGGCATTTTTAAAAATGAAATTTCCAAGTTGTCTACTTATCCCTTACCATCCTTGTAAATTGGTTGGCCCTCTTTTTTGTAGGCTCAAAAAGTTGACCCTAAACTCAACAAGTTGATCTACCTGGGTCGGCCCGGCCCAATAATGAGGGTTAAGCCTTAGAAATGACACTCATTTAAAAAGGGAAAAAGAAAAGAAAGAGAAAAAGAAGTAACTTGCATTTAAAAAGAAAAAAAAAATCAAGGGGAAGAGATCACTTTTTGACTTTGTTTTAAGCATATTCCAGATTCCCATTTCCCACCCAACACATTGCCTTTCCTCTGAAGGGATTGGCAAACCATTTTTCCACTTGGTTTTATTTCCTTAAA